ACATATTATACACATCCGTCAACAAACGTCATGATAGAAATGCTTGCTCTATATTGTCGCAACTCAGATGGTGGCCCTCCTATAGGTCGTGACTTAGCTACTCGCTTGGCTTTTTGACAAGAGGTTTTTATCATTTCACCACCCAACCATATTCATCCAGATAAAGAGAATTGTTTTCTCAAAAGTACAACAAGCAATTTATTCAATCATGAAAACATAAAAATGTGCGAATAGGGCGGAACAACAAAGAACAAACATGAAACGAGCAAACAACAGAAACAAGATGATGGTTCTTGGTAATTACATTATATGTTATGGGCAGCAGCACCAAAGTCGAGGAGACGTCACACCCCCAAAGTGGCATAGTGCTACTTTGGAAGTCAGCAATCAATGAATGAGTGTTATGTACTGATTTTAATATAATAATTCTTAGTGACGAATCGAATAACGATTCAACTAATAATGACCATTCTTATCGATTCGGGTTCTATTTATATTCGGAATCGATGCTAGATTCGCAATTTTCCGCAATGGGAATGGTCGTCACCTTTCGATACTGCTCACCTAGGTATTATCGCGCGGTAATCGCTTTTCTGCAAATTATAAAGGAACTAACGTCTATGAACTATGCTGACCTGATCGAAACTACAATGTACTGAATGTTTTAATTTGGAAGAGTTAATTTATAGTAAAAGGTCTTGAAATGAACGGGACTTTGAGTGAAACATCGATGCTTCTCTATACCTTCCTTTATTATTACTCAAGCGAACAGGCCCGGATCAGAAATTTTGGCGCTTAAGCAGCACATATTTCGCCGCCTACCAGTACAAATGTTTGGTTATAGTTTCTACTTTTTCACATCATATTGTGAAAGAATATACATACAGGGTGTCTGTAAAAGGTTGGGACATGGCTCGGCTGTGGACTCCTGGGGATTAAACAAGTTGATTTAGGCCAACTTACCTATATCCAAAATCGTCTCGTTGAGTTGGTACAAGGCGTTGAATTTTTTTTGGAACGAAATAATTTTGCTCATAAAAAGAGTAGGCTGAGATCGATTTTCATAATTTTTGGCATGGCATGTTCTATGACTGTAAGTCACGTTTCGAGATGTTTTTGATCATCATCAGTGACCTGCAAGTGTTTCAAACAACCAGTAGATCTTCGGTGGCGGAAGCCGTATTGTCTATCATTGATGATTCCTGAGCTCTCCAAATATTTGATAAGCTCAATATTGATGGCTTTCTTCATCACTTTGGAGATTACTGATAACAGGGCAATGGGCCTGTAGTTGTTGGGCAGGTTCTTGTTGACCTGGTTCTTAGTTGAACTTATCTTCACATGTCTTCTTAGGTATTTCATGTATTTGAAGATGTCCGTTGAGCCGAAACTAGTCACAAACTTGATTTGTTAATATAATTTTTGTGGTCGACCGACTTAGTGTCAAACTGTGTTATACTGAGCTTCCGTAGCTATCCACCCCTGTCTATGTATGTACATATTACTTCTCGGGATTGAAGAATACTCATTTTGATTTCAATAATGTCAATACCAGCCTAAATGCGAATACCTTTATACTTAATATTCTTTCGGTGGGATTATAGATTTTTTGCTTCATCGAGTTATTTTGCTCTGACGAGATTCATCCATTATATCATCAGCTTCAAACAGATCTTGAATTAATCTCCATAATTATTAGGATAGATGTCTGTATAATGAAATATTCAGATCAATTTCGTTCATTCAGAGATAACTCAGCAGTCTGAAAATGTGGAAATATAGATTAGCATCGATATATTGGATTTTTTGTCACCGAATGGTAATAGCTTTTATTCCGAGCAATAGTAATTCATGTAATCAGTTCAGAATTAGTAAGATGAATTATGTATCTCGATACTCCAAGACCTGCAAATCCTCCAAATAATCTGATATAAAAGGGGGTTGTCCATTTATTTCCATTTGCAAGCGAAAGAAGCAGTATATTTTTATTTCATCATTCATTCCAATATGCGCCGAAGGGGATCATAAGCTTATGCATGATATATGGATGTATATCCTTGGTCATGGGAGACTATAGTATATAAAACTGTCAAATACTACACTTATGCGTAATTGGGTACGTATAACGTTCATATCTGAACATTTTCTGAATCAGGACCGCTTATCACAGTGAAACATCATTCATTTCCATTCTGTTTTCAACTGAATATCACGTTGTTGATTTTTTTTATTTTCGTTTATATCATGTACACAACCTGATCAAATTCAGATCAATCTTAGTTATCGCCGAATTTATATTGATCTGAAAGAGGGTAATGATGGAGGACATTCTGATCAACCATATATACTATTGAACGAAGTGTTACACATTTCGAGACATCATCGGTTTCCCGATTATTAACGAATTTAATGAGTAGGTCCATATGAGTTATAGGTAATGAAAGTTTTGTCAAACATTCCATCTGATTGTATATCACTTTCTTGAGGCACTCGCCATGGTAACAGAATGTGGATTGATATAATTATCCACAAAGATCAATAAATCCTCAGAAATCTCTGTCATCATTCCATCACTCGTTCCATCAAACGTACACTCGGCATCAGCACATCCTCTTCTTGTCAACCTCGATATATGTCGAATAACTCTTCACTAACACTCGCTCGTCTATAGAACGACAAAGCTTTGAAATTATTCGCCAAAGGAACTATTCCTTAGAACATATACAGGGTGACAATTCCTTCTTTTTCTACCAAAGCGACTCACCTATCAGTCACGAAAAAAATCGAGGTCCGGATTAACAAAAGTTGATAACATTTCTGGACACCAAAAAGAACACCCTGTATTTTCGAATTCTCAAAATCCGCTAATATATTCGGAAAGTGCACAAAATGCTGAACCGAATGGTATACTTGTCATTTTTTCCGCATGCAATTTCACTAAGGAATTTCTGATTTTGAATTCGAGATTTTATGCATTTGGATAGGTAAAAATAATATGTTTTGAGTTTTCCCAATCGAATAACAACAATTATCACGAACCACCCAGTATATTCTTTTGGACTTTGATACACGAGTTCTCCTAATTCTACCCAAACGCCTCACCTATTATTCACGAGAAAAATCCAGGTCCGGATTAACAAAAATTGATCACATTTCTGGACCCCAAAAAGAATACCATGTATTTTCGAGTTCTCAAAATTTGCTTACATATTTGGGAAGTGCACAAAAAGCTGAACCGAATGGTGTACTTTTCATTTTCCCACATGCAATTTCACAAAGGAATTTCTGATTTTGAAATCGAGGTTTTATGCATTTGGATATAGGTAAAAATAATATGTTTTGAGTTTTCCCAATCGAATAATATTATCATGAACCACCCAGTATATTTTTCCGAATTTGGTACACGAGTTCTCCTTGATCTACCCAAGTCCCTCACCTATCATCCACGAGAAAAATCCAGGTCCGAATTAACGAAAATTGATTATATTTCTGGGCCCCAAAAAGAACACCCTGTATTTTTGAATTTCCATAACATGCTTACATATTTGAGAATTGCACAAAAAGCTGAATTGGATTGTCTACTTTTTATTTTCATACGAATGCTATTTCACTACTGAATTTCTGATTTTGAATTTGAGGTTTTATGCATTTGGATAGGTAGAAATCGAGGTGAAATGGAAAGTTTTGAGTTTTCAGAATTAAAAATTGATTAGTGAAAGAGCATGCGGGATATTGAAAAGTACACAATTCGAATCATCTCTTTGTGAACTTTCCAAATATGGAATCGGATTTTGGAAATTTGAAAATACTGGGTGTTCTTGTTTGGGCCCAGAAGATCATAATTTTTCGTTAATCCGGACCTGGATTAACATTCTGACTGATAGGTGAGTCGCTGGGGTAGAAGAAGGAGGACTTGTGTACCGAATTCCAAATGAATATACTGGGTGATTCGTGATAGTTTCTGTTATTCGATTGGGAAAACTCAAAACATTTCATTTTAACCTCATATTCAAAATCAGAAATTACCTAGTGAAATAGCATGCGGAAAAATGGAAAGTACATCATACGATTCAGATTTTCACGCACTTTCCAAATATGTGAGCAGATTTTGGAAATTCAAAAATACAGGGTGATATTTTTGGGGTCCAGATATATGATCAATTTTCGTTGATCCGGTCCTGGATTTTTCTCGTTACTGATAAGTGAGTCGCTTTGGTAGAAGAAGGCGAAATTGTGTACCAAATTCCAAATGAATATACTGGGTGGTTCGTAAGTTATGTCCTCACAAAGAATTGAACAAAATTGATAAAACACCCTATATCTCGGATATAAAACTTGCGAGACCCTACAAATATGGTATATTCAGAACCACCTTGATGAGCTCTACCCACTGTTGAAGTTTTTCCGTTTCCCAATGGGACACCCTGTATAATGTCCAATATTTCAAAGACGATGTTCTCCGAATATAATAGGGATTCCCATTCGTGCGCTCCATGAAAAAAATATGGTCATAATTTGTCTCCAAGATGATCTTCTATTTGGTATTCCCTGCAGCTCACTGTTACTCATCTGTTTGATTGGGTTACACTGTGTCATAATCAGTTAATTTATTACTGTTATCAATTTGTTCCTAATTTGAAAATTATTCTGAGGTCAGGGTTTTGAACACACGTAAATAGATAAATAATGAATAATCACCTATATTTTACACAGTCAAGGCTATACTACAGTGTTAACAGCATTTTGGTCACTCCACCATCTCAAATGGTATGCAAGTTTAATTTTTTTGGTGCTATTATTATGTAAGCATTATCCATCACACATATAATCATGATATGGAGTAACAAGGTTAAAGTTTTTGAATAGTTCTATACCAAACTTTTGCCTCATAGAGACCTATTATTATTATCATAAGAATTCTTCACTTTTTCAGTTGAATCCATGGGTATTCCACAAAAGGACTGGAATGACTGAGCCTCAGGAAATGTGGTTGCAACTTGATGCTGCAATATGATCATCAATTCATTCAGATTCTGAATTTTGGAAACCAAAAACCAGGCAGGTATTATTTCCCCAGAACTTTGTTCAACAACAGAATCACTATGCATGTTTTGGAATTCAGAAAATGGCCCAGTAGTACTAACCCAAGCAACTATAGTTTTTTGTTCAGTACATTTTTCAAATAATCATCGATTGAAAAACGCGGAGAAAAGGAGAGTTTTACCCTAATAACATATTCACAGTGACCAATTCAATGTGTCTTGCATACCATAGATCATACTCTAGCTCTAGCTGGTGATGAGTTTATGACCTATAAAGAATCATGACTCAACCTCACGGCTTTCGAGATATTATAACTTCCATAAAAAATTATTGAATTCTCATTTCCGATCAACTTTCCATGTTTTAAGATAATGAGGAACCTTTCGTGTTGATTCTTATTTTCGCTGAATATTACTGAATAGTGGTTGTGATAATCGCAGAAGGCACTGAAACATGCCCAAAACCCTTGTAAATTCGTAAAATTGTATCAAAATGTGGGAAGTAAAGACTGCAGGAATCATTTGCTCCGTACCTCCAGAATATTATTAAGATATTTCAAACAGAAGGAGATTTCACTTGAAAAAAGAGGATTGTTGAGGAAGTTGGATAATAAACAACCATTGGCTGAAAAAGTTCTAGGTACACAAGGATACTCATTGAAGTGATGTGCATTGCGCTTATAAAAGGAAAGGATAATTATTTATCTTGCAAATCTTCATAATGAGTTTGCGGAATGTGTTCTCAGTCGTAGACAATTCGAATAAGCAATAATCATAATTTCTAGTATTTCGGAAGATAGTGAAACCGAAACTTAGTACACAGACATTGTTTGTTAATATATCACAGTTTGATATATCTTATATGAAAACTCTTTTTCTTACGCCTCGATGTTCAATATTCAGAACTGAACGTTTTACACTAATAAATGTGACAATTCGAGACAAGTCGTGTCTCCTCTTTTTCTGGAAGACGTAGAATGCGAGATTTTCTAGGCACTCTGAAGCGGCGTTCATATATAACCAAACTTTTTACCTTCTGGTTTTCACGTTCACGACTGAAGCGAATGTCATTCCCAACAAAAAAAAAAGTTTTTACGGTTTTTCTCAGTTGCCAATGAGATTGACTAAATAATGAATAATACCTATTCATAGAATTGGCGGAGACGAAGAGAAATAATCTACAAAAGAAAATGAGAAATTGAACAGTACGTTTCCTGGAAAAACAAAAAAAAATCATAAGCAGAATCATCATCATAACTTCTATGGAATGTTCCATAAGCATACAGTGTGTGCGATTTCAACACGCAACACCCTCTTGATTTGGAACGCGTCGACTGATTTACAAAAACGAGAATTCCATAATATAGTACCCAACGAGTCCAATTCAAGAATGTGAACAAATTTGAAAAATTCAAATTTTCAAGGCCTACTTTAGTTTGTTGAAGGGGTCAAAATTTCAAAAACGACTATTAGGCAATTTTTTATCGAAATTGTGACTAGCCTATTCTATTCAGGCATACCTGGAAAAAACCATTCGAAATTTGAACGAAAAATCTTCTATAGGGTGTTAGTTATTCAGTGGCAAATCTTGATATTTTCGATTTTTCAATTCACCCTATATCGAAATCTAAGGATTTGATAGAACTGGTGAAGTAGTCATTCAATGGAGGAAAACATCGGATATTCGGATAGGAAGTTTCATCGTTGTATTTTCTACAGGAAGATCTCTCTTGGTCAACCAAAAATTAATGAAATTGAAGTTGACAATTTTTTTTATTCGATGAAATATTTTCTATAATCTATACAAAACAATTTCCATTGTCATCCCAAATTTCCCTTCTATCTCGGCAAAATCGGTATATTATTATGATCACATAAGTATATAAAGTAAATCTCTTTGCAGTCTTTGGAGAATGTTTGTCTGTCATTCTATTTGTATTATATTCGACAATTCTTCACCAATCGAGAGGATTTTCGAAGTTACAGTGTGGCGAAATGTGTGAAGAATGATTTACTTGAGTTTTCATAATGGTGAACCTCAACATTGATTTTATTGATTTTTGGGTGACCTAGAGAGATCTTTCTGTGAAAGTTACAACGATGAAACTTCGTATCCAAGTATTCAATGCGTGGTTCTCCATTGAATGACTACTTCACAGCTATACCGATTCCTTAGATTTTGATACAGGGTGAATCAAAAATTAATAACAAAATTTATGTCACATGGATATCCTTAGGACATCCTGTCGGAACATTTTGGACGTCCATGGGACGTTCAAATTCGGTACCGTGGACATCCATTGGACGTCTGTGGGACGCACAAATGTCCCACTTGAGAACCAACTAGGGACGTCCCAGGGACAACTATCGAATACCTAAATCCTACAGTATTCCTCATGAAGCACTACGGAGGACATCCTTAGGACATCCGTAGGACAACCTATCAGCAACTCTGAGGGTTATCAATTGGATGTCCCTAGGAAGTTCCAGAGACGTACGAATTATTCTTGAATATGAACTTTTCTGGGTCCCTCTAGGACCAGATCTTGCATAACTGATGAGGACATCCAGTTGAGTTGATGGTCCGTAGAAGGTTCCCAATAGATCCAAAAAAAGTTTCCCAAGGATGTTGAAAGTACCGACTGGGACGTCCGTAGAACATTATTTCTAGGACATTGGAAGAGTACAGTTCATGTACCAATTGGGACATCCGACGGATATCCCAAAGGGACATTCGAAGGATATCTCTAAGGAAAATTTCGATTGTTAAACGATCCTGGCACATTATATGAGATCTAAGTCATGCCAGAATATGTACTACACGGGACATCCGATGGATGACCCTGAGGAAACATTTTAAATCATATCCCATCAGGGACATGCCAAGGACGTCCTTGCTCGGACATTGCATGATGGGATGGGACGTCCCAAGGACATTTATTTTTGATCCGGGACATTCTGACTTGAATTGTACCAAATAGGGACGTCCCTAGGACGTTGTGTGCTATTAGGGATGTTTCGACAAAAAATTGCCTAATAGCCGTTTCTGAAATTTTGACCTATTCAGCAATCGAAAGTAGGCCTTGAAAACAAGGATTTTTCAGATTTGTCCACATTTTCGAAAAGAACTCGGTGAGTACTATAAAATGAGATTTTTGTTTTTGAAGATCGGCGACAGGTTCCAAATTAGAAGGGTGTTGCGGGTTGAAATCGCACACACTGTACATACGCTATTCTATTTGATGATTGATTTGAATCACAGCCCACAGTAATATTTTCCATTCGCTTCACCAATCAGATTACGAAACGTACAAAGCAAAACGTAGAAAGTTTGGTTGTGAACGCCGCTTAAGTAAGGTTTCCTCATTTCCAGGAAAGCGATGGATTCCTCACCAGAAGCCGAATTCAGCTCCGACTGTGGAGGGACAGCCCTGCTCGAACTGGCAGAAATCTACTCGGAGAACTACCACATCTACTGCTCCATATTCGTGTGCGTTTTCGGCACCATCGCCAACGTCCTCAACATCGTCGTCCTCACTCGAAAGGACATGGCAAGCGCGCCCATCAACAGGATCCTGACTGCTCTGGCTGCTGCCGATATGATGCTGATGATCGAGTACATTCCGTTCGCCTACTACTACCATTTGGAGCTGTCCGGAAAGAAGGATTTTCCGTTCGTCGGGGCAGTGTTCATGCTCTTCCATATCCATTTCACGCAGATCCTGCATACCATATCGATATGTCTGACCTTGACTTTGGCGATTTGGAGATTCTTGGCAATAGGGTAAGCTGATGATTTTTTTATGTTCTGGTTCCTACGAGAAGGGATATCCTGTAATGTTCAAAGAACATCGTGAGAACCTAGGAAAATGAGGTAGGAATTGGTGTTCTTCTTCAATTTCTGGAGGTTATATGCCTCGGTCAACACCTCCTTCCGCAATGTGTTCCAGAGCCTCGCTGTTCGTTGGATGAACGAGTCTTTGGAAAAAGATGCAGGTCTCCAAAATGATCACGAAGGGGTACGAAGCCTCAACTCGACGGGTTAATCTCGCGGGGACTGCCAAGGGAGGAACAATTGTTGATATTACAGAGGAGCATCGTCCATGAAAATATCTATAAAATAGAGACAGATCGCCAACTTTTCTACGGTGTTTCAGAGAAGTGAGTTAGTTTGTGAACGAGGTATCACCCACAAGACGAATTGCCCTTATTTGGACAGAATCCAACAGTTTCAGGGTATGTTTGGGTGCTGCACAACAAATATGGGAACAGTATTCCAGGACAGGTCAGATCTGTGCCTTATAGATCATAAGCAGCTGACTGGCAGTGAAATAGCTCCTGGCCCAAAACAGAAAACCAAGTTTTTGGGATGCACTTTTAGCAATTGATCTCACGTGATTTTCCAAAGAAAGGTTATTGCTGATAGTAACACCAAGAATCGAAATGGATGTCTTCAGAGGTATGGTTACTCCTGACAAGCTTATGTTAGGCACAGTGAGATCGGCTTTTCTAGAATAAAGGCATGCTTGTGTTCTGTTTGCATCGAAATCTACCAAGTTATTGGATCCCCATTCGAGAATTGTTGCCAAGTCCATATTCATGTTGTCAACATTTCTCCCTCGTCGAGGGTACTATCATCCGCGAATCTGTGTAATGGACATGAAGTTGCTTCCAACGAATCGTTGATATGGAGAAGTGATAGTGTTGGTGCTAGAATTGATCCTTGCGGAACACCAGCATTTATGATAAGAGAGTCAGATGAAAGATTCAATGGTATTAGTGGTATTCTGGGTCTTCCTATTATTCATAGTTTTTCTCTAGGAGCGCACGAGAAAAAATTCCAATAATGTTCGAAGAACATCGTGCCTTCCTAGGGAGGATAAGGAGGAGGTAGGTGTTGGAATTGTTTAGAATCTTTGGAGGTTATAATTTCTTGGGAATACTTTCATTGGTAAAGAATTCCAAAGCTTTGTCGTTCTATAAACAAATGAAATATATTGCCGTGTATAGACGTCTGATTGGTATTACCTACTATAGTGATGGAATGAAGGCAGATTTCTGAGGATGGATTTTTCTTCGAAGATAATAGGTCGCGTGCACGATGACCGACCCTGGAGGTGAAATATTGAAACACAACCTCACTTTTCTGTGAAACATTGAATCACAATCTCACTTTTTTTATTTGTTTACAGAGGATTGAAATAGTTTTTCACAATATTTTGGCATACGAATCGTGTTTTTTGTGATATTCATTACTTCAAGCATGCCTTCGCATTGTGCTGTTGTACAATTAGGGATTGCAATCCCGCAAAACGGGATCCCGCAATCCCGCGGGATCCCGCTGCTTTTATTGATCTGCTGGATCCCGTACCTTCGATGCGTGGATCCGCGGATCCGCAAATGAAAATTTGGCGCTGAAAAATCACGAGTAACACGAGCGCGAAGCGCGACGTTCCGTTTCGCACAGCGCACCGCGCCGGCGACTGACGAGTGTTTTCGTATTCTACGTCCGGCGTTTCGATTCGTTGGTAAGTACCTAAATTTTGAATTTTTTTTAATTCGATTTTAAAAGCAGATTGTGCCGTGAATAGCATTATATAATGTCGTGATGTTGCGTGAGCGTGAAACATTATGACTTATGACTCAAAGTGGTTTTTGTCAATATAATTATTTTTGGATATGGTTATCGATGAGACTGATGAGAGGAATCAATTTTAATAGTTTAAAAATGAAATGAATGAATCTGAATCTATACTTACATCTTACATAAAACTTTATTTATTATTTGCAGGTAACGAGTAAATGAATGATGTATCATGTCTAATTGCGAGTCTAATTTCTTAGAAACTGAGAATAAAGGCAACGGCGATGACGATATCAACATTATCAACCAACCTGGAAAAGGTCTGTGGCGTTATTTTAAGAAAAATGACAAAGGTGGCAAATGTCTTCTGTGTTCAAATGAACTTAAAATTAGTCAACGTTCTACCAAAGGCTTGAAAATACATTTGAAGACTAAACACAATATCGATATCGGTTGTCGAAACGATGACACTGGAGAAGAATCCTTACCAATAGTACCAAAGAAGAAACCCAAAACAATGGACAGTTTTCTTATCAAAGAAAACACCATGGACAAAATGATCTCTAGGATGGTATGTAAAGACGGATTCACCCTAAGTTCCTTTTGCACATCTACGGATTTAAGGAATTTATTTCATAAAAGCGGTCACAAATTACCCAATTCACCAAATACAATACGATCTATCGTAACAAATTTTTATAACACAGTTAAAGCTGACATGATTATTGAATTTGAACGACTCAAGAAACGGAAACAGAGATTTTCACTCACATTTGACGAATGGACGTCACAAAAGAATCATCGATACTTAAATATCAACGTCCACCAGAATGAAAACCATTTCAATTTGGGTTTGGTCCGTATAAATGGCTCAGCTACCGCAGAACATTGCATTACCTTGGTGAAAGAACGCCTCACGAGTTTTGGTCTAGACTTAGACACAGATATTATCGCAATTACAACGGACGGCGCTAGTGTGATGGTGAAGGTTGGCAGACTTTTGCGTTGTTCCCAGCAGCTTTGTTTTACACACGGCTTACAACTAGTGGTGGTTGATGCACTGTATAAGAAAAGCAATTCTTTGATATCAGAAATATCAGAATGCGCAGCAGCAGCATTTACGACGGAATCTGATGATGATAACGATGATATGGACGCCAATGAACAGGGTTTGACTGTAAACATAAATTCACTGCCACTTGAAATGATTTCTACAACATATGAAGATCTATTGAAGAAAGTACGGAAAGTGGTCAAGATTTTCAAGCGGTCACCAACTAAAAATGACATCTTCTTACAAAAATATGTGAAGGAACAAGAAGGCCCTAAAAAGGAATTAGCATTGATATTAGACTGCCGTACTCGCTGGAATAGCCTTTTGAATATGTTGGAACGATTCTACAATTTAAAGAATTGTATTGATAAAGCATTAATCGATATTGAATGTGAGATTAAATTCAGCGATAATGAGTGGTTCATAATTAAAGATCTCATTGTACAGTACAATACACAAAAAATGTAGCGCGAGACGAAGGAATATGATTTTTCAGGAAAATAGTAATCTCACATAGTTTTCATTATGAAATTTTGTCATTTCTTATTAAAATTCCTTCTGTTACTTCTGCAATAGAAGCTATTACTGCGAATAGATTGAAAATATCTACAACACACAGGATCATATTTCGTCAGCATGTCAGACCAGTCCTCCCGTTTGATTGCATGAATCTAATCTTCTTGCATTCTTTTAGAAATTTCACGAGTATTTTTATAGCTCCTATTGCAGAAGGAATTCCGATGAGAAATCAGAGAATTTTCTGAATTTAAAAATGACAACTATATGTGAGTGACAATGAATAGCCGGAAAACACGATTCGAATGCCAAAATAATTGTGGAAAACTATTTCAATCATTTGTGAACAAATGAGAAAAGTGAGGTTGTGTTTCAATGTTTCACCTACAGGCCCTAGGGTCGGTCATCTGACAGTTCTTACACGCAACCCATTATATCAATCCACATCTTGGTGAAGTGTTGTTCGACATATTTCAACTTCTGTTATGATTCCAATTTGAAGAAAAGGCAATATTCTCCTGAAAAGGCTAACATAGTTAGTTAAACACCTATCGAATCTTCAAAACATCGGTTTGGTTGCTGGTAAAACAGTGTAGTGTGTCACTTTCTCAAAGAGCAATTAACCAGAACGATTTTTCACTCGCTCGCCACCAACCGATTCGAGTGACAAGTGTTTGTTTTACGCGCGATTTTTAAAATTTCAAAATTCATTGTTAAAATCAGGGACTATCAAGCGCATTTAGTTTTATTGTTTTGTCTCGGTCTAGTTGAAATATGTAGGGTAAATGCAATGATGCTAGATTAGTGCATGCAAAGACACGATTTTAGCGCGTCTTGCGCGCCCCCCCGATCTTCGCGCCCTAGGCTGCAGCCTAATCAGCCTAATGGTTAATCATGCCCTGCCTGATGGGATATGAATTTGAACGTTCCTTTAGGGACATCCATCGGATGTCCCGAGTAGTACCTATTCTGGCTTGACTTCAGATCCCAGATAGCACTAGATAATTTATGGACATCCTAAGAATATTCCGTTTCGGATGTTCGAATATTCTCTAGACCCACTTTGAATATTTATATTCTTTTTAAAATATTCTATGGACCATGGAAATGGGAATCTTTTTGAATATTCTATAGATATTCGACAAGAATATTCATTGGATAATCCAGAATATTCATGGGATACCTTTGGAATATCTTTTCATCAAATATTTCTACTATCTATGGATTATTCCAAATCGATCATCCAATAGTAATCATTGAATATTCTGTAGGTATCCATAGAATATTCTGAGGTTTCAATTTCGATTCAGAAAATATTCTTGCTCTGGAAATATTTTATTATTCGAAGGTCTGTCTATACAACAATATCTGACAAATTTATGATTTGTATGGTGATTATAGCCTCAGTTCTTTGGTCACGATACTTTCTGGCCTTCCCTGAAATTGTCAACCATATTATAATCCCAGATGTTATTCAGTATAACCTTTACAGAAATTGAAAAAATGTAACAGGAAACATTTATTCAGAAAGAGTCGTTTTTGCAACTTCAAATAACTCACCTGATGAGATTTTATTACACTGGACACTTGTATGAAAGTACATCTGAGTAAAGGTTTCATTATCAATATCCTCATTTCACCAAATAGGTAAGTATATATCCAGACTAATCACTTCTCTACAGATACATCATTTTCAGAACAGCATCTGGAACGAAAATGTTTTTCATGTATATATGTATGTTTAGTTTAACCCTTGAGCGGGCGCGCTGGCGGACGGAGTGCGCCAGCGGGACGTTTCTTCCTGCCAAACTGTATATAATTTTTTGACATCGCCAACGCTTTAGGTATTCCAGTAATAGGTCATTGTGCTTAGATCGAGATGGTTGTGTACACTTTACTAGAGCTTGTATGTGTTTCCGATCTCATTTTCTCATACCTGCTCGAATTGGCGCACTGAGTGCACCGCGCGCTTGGTCATGTGAGTACTTTTATTTATATATTCATAAATTGTTTTTGTTATTACGGTGTTATATTTGTGATTTTTCTGTTGTATAATATAGTTTTGGCGATGAACTACCTATTGAAGATAAAGACGTATCTTAAGAGGAGTAAATTGTGGCTCATAGTGATCATGATTCGTATTGGCCGAAGACAAAGCCACCAAATGGTACAGAACGAATGTGTCAACCATTTCCAAAGTAAAAAACAAAAATTTGTTGAAAGTTCCTCCCGGACCAAAACAAGTCGTCAGAGGAACCTCATCCGAAATTTTTTCATTGGAATTGATTCTTGACTCATTTATGATTGAGAAAATTGTGGAGTTTACCAATCTCTACATAGATATCAAAAGAGCAACATTGAGATACCAGAGAGCTCATGATGCTAGAAATACTACAAGGATTGGGATTTCAGCCCTACTTGGATTATTGTATTTCATAGGCGCTAAAAGGAACAATTATTGCAATTTTGAAGATATGTGGAACGCTGAGAGAGGATTTGGAATCACAAGGCCAGTTTTGTGCTATGAAAGATTTCTATTCTTGTTACGTTGCATTTGGATTTGATGATCGTGACAGCAGGGAACATCGAAAGCAAACTGACAAATTGGCTGCAATCAGAACAATTTTTTAAAAATTTGCTACAAATTGTGAAGAAATTTATTCCCTTGAAGCATATGTAACGATAGATGAAAAACTATAAGCCTTTTGGGGTCGTTGCAGCTTTATTCAGTATTTACCGAATAAACCTGCCACGCAAAAACGAAGAAGTTGCAATTGAAGCAGAACCTGGCCTGAAGAGAAAATGGCGTTGTGTCACGTATGGTAGATCCAGAAATAGCAACACTAATGTAAGATGCGATATATGTTAGGATGTTGGGTGCAAGGCTCCTATTGTTGAAACTAGTTACCCAAAATGTCTCAGACAAACCGAATCACCTAACGAGGATAGTGACTAATTTTTTTATATATAACTCCATTAAATGTTGGACCTGATTCTCTTCATTTTTTATTTTGAACGTTATTTTCATTTGAATATGAAACAAAAAACATAAAAGTAGTTCAACATATCAACAGTTTACAATATATACAGCTGGAGCACTCAGTGTGCCGCGCGCCCGCCCATGTTTTCATTTGAGGCGCGCCCGTCCGAGGGTTAAGCATTTCATTTCTGAGATACAGTACCTCGCCACCCTTATTGAATCACCTGGTACATAAATAACTCACCACCAACGGCACCATTTTCACCAGAAATCATTCATTATTTGAGTTTACCTATTAGAGGCTTAGAATGTCTTACCCTCAATTTCCTGAAATGAGAGCTGATATCGGTTATACTGCTTATGCACCTGAGATGCTTACAATTCAACACAATAAGGTATACCTATCTGGAAAATGATTTTCTATATAACAATAAAGAAAGCTTCACTATATTGTTGCAATTGAGATGATTATATTCTCACCTACGACTACGATAACAGAACCTCAGTAAATGGGCTAGACAGACTCCAGACCATTTCGACCACTTTTCCCATGTAAATCTCCATAAGAAAAGTTAAGGTTCATTCTGCAATTTTTTGGCCACTTCAAGGTCATCCGGCTCCGACGGCGAGCAAAGCGATAGATCCGTTCTAGAGATAACGGCGCGCATTTTATTCCATTTTTCACTTAACAACGGCTATATACAGGGTGTTTGAGTTGGGTAATAGTTTGGAAAAAAATATAGAGTGAACCCAAAAGGCGTTATACCTCCTCGACGAGTAGACTACCAGCATATAGGCTACCCGCTAGCTAATGATTCAATCTAATATATAGGGTGTTTGGATAGCAATAAAAATATATACAGGGTGTCTGAGTAAGCAATAGCGATAAGAAATAGGGCGTCTCACGGAGTAGCAAACATACGTATGATATAGTATCCGTTCGATATACAGCAATAATAGCAATACAAACTTATATAGGGCACTCGTTGCAACAAGTGAAAGTTGGACTCAGCAAAAGTGTGACAGTTGTCGCTAGTTGACGATTCCAATCATTATACAGGGTGTTTGGATAGCAATAAGAATATATACAGGGGAGGCAAGAACTGACAGGCGGACCCAGCGAACATATTAACGTATGACATTTGACTCGCTAGAGTCCGTTGAATATACAGGGCTTTCAAATAGTAATACAAACATGTATAGGGCAGATCAATTAAATTCAGTTGGATTAAAGGAACTTACTCAGCCCGAAATGGCTCCATTTTCTGAGATACAGGGTGGTGAAGTTGTAGAATGAAAATCGAATTATTCAGAAATTCAACAACTAAAGTATGACAGATGACATTTATACTATTCGACAGATGAGATGTATGACACGTAACCTTCCAGCGCTTATCGAAAACAGATATCCAGGTTTAGCACAACTTATGAATTTTATGAAAGCGAAAGAGTTAATTTTTCCCTAGATTCTATGGAAATTACAAGTTACGTGCCATAAGTGACTGCGTAAAACAAAGCAGAGTTTTTCCACAGATCTACGTACTTTTTCTAGGATATCATCATATACAAAGCGATTGGAGAAACCTGATTCGACTGAAAAAAAACATATACAGGATGAGCAGAATAAGTAGGGTGGATTAAATATTCAAGAAACATATACAGAATGAGTCATAAAACTCGAATCGAATGA